GTGTGTGTGTGTGTGTGTGTGTGTGTGTGTGTGTGTGTATGCCTGCAGAGGCCAGAAGTGTCAGATCTCCTGGGGTTAGAGTTACAGGTGGTTCAGAACTGCCTAGTATCTGTGCTGGGAATTGAACTCAGGTCCTCTAGAAGAGCAGTATTCATAACCACTAAGCCATCCTCCACCCAGGTTTTTGTTGTTTGTTTGTTGTTTTTTTTTTTTTTTTTTGAAACAGCATCTCTTGTGGCTCAGAACGACTTCTGGTTTGCTATGCATCCACCAAGGTTGACCTTGAGTTCTTGATCCTCTTGCCTCCTAAGTCCCGGGATCCCATGTATGCCACCTGGCCTGGCTACCACTCCCACTATAACCCCCTGATACTAGCGAGGGAAGCCAGGACCTTGTGTAGGGTAAGAAAATTCTCTATTGCTGAGCTACATTCCTAGCCCTGTTTTAAAAGTTTTGAGTCAGGATCTTATTACATTGCCCAGGCTGATGGAGAATTTGCCATCCTCCATAGTCACCATACCAAAATAGCTGGGATTACAGGCATTTGCCACCATACCTCTTGGAAAGTTAACAATTGTTTGTGTATATGCTTTTTGCCCACATCACAAGAATGATGGGAAGTTTTTATCTTACTGTGGGTGCTCAATATAAAGAACAAAAATAGCTTGCTGATCACCAGACATCTGGCCCTTTTCCTGGCAGGTCTGCCTGTCCATTATGCAGGACATGTGTCTAGCTGTCCCTTTACGATCACCTCATAAGTCCATCCTCTAGTTATTCCCTAGTCATGAGTCCACCTGTCACCTTCGATCTCCAGCTGGGACTTGGGTCCTCTGTGATGCCCTGGAGCCATGCGTCGTTGAACCAGGAGGGGTCTCTAGGGGCGGAAAGGTGGGATGAGCTGGCTGGGGAGCCCTTGGGGATCCTCCCATTCAGACCCAACTCACATCTGATTCAGCACATGGGCTATGGCGAGTCCGCTGCTCAGGTCCTGGGGGCTGGCACAGGGAGGTGGAACTTGGAACGTCTGCAACTAAAGGGGGCCGGAAGGGGCAACATGAAAATTCAAGATCTGAAACACTTCTTTTGCAGACACTTTACAGGGTTGGGAGGGCACCAGCCTGCAGCTCCGCTACATCAACTCTGCGGGGGCGTGGCTTCTACACACCTGGGCAGGAGGGGGCGTGGCCCCATTTCACCTAGCCGGACAAACCCTGCCATGCCAGTCCAAGTCAGGGCGTTACCAGAGTCACCTGGTCCCCACTGCTAGCTAACACGTGACCAGGCCTGTGCCCCAGAAGGGCGGGGCCTCACCTGTTCTTGCCTCTCAGGCCTGCCCACGTGACAGGGGCAGGTGGTCAGGTCAGAGTCCAACGGCCCGGCAAGCCTACGACCTATGCCTCCTTCCAGCACCCAGACAGAGGAGAGAAGACCACGACAGGGCAAGAAGAGAGGGCACACACCTGACCCAGCCCCGCCCCCCAGACCTACCCAGGTGAGCAGAGACCCGCATAGCTCGGCCTTGTCCACACTCATGGCTCCGGATCGAGTTCGATCCGGGCCAAGGAGCCCCGGCGCGCAGCAGCAGCCTCCGGGTCCGCCACCAGCGAGCGCCCGAAGCCCAGACCTCCCGCTCGGCCTAGAGCGCCGCCCCGCTCCACCCCGCCCCCTCGGCACAGGCCCCGCCCCGGACACGTGATCTCTTCCAAACGCGAGCACTTGCCTCCCCCCCGCCCTCTCGCCATCTTGGGTGCGGGACGCGGGCGGGTACACGTTCTGCCGCCAGGGGTCGCTGTGGCCCAGCCGCGGCGAGGGGAGGGGTGGCCTCGGCTCCTCGTGGCCTCTCCGGGGTGGAGTGGTCCTCATGATCCTCCCAAGGCGGATCTGCGGCTCCCAGTTTCAGGGGCACATTCGTGCTCTTCCCTCAAAGCGGAAAGGACTCCTCGCGTATTGACCCGAGCCTTTCTTTCTGAGAGCGGAGAGAGATCAATACATGAGGCTTCCCCGGAGCAGGGACGCTGGATCCTTCAAGGAGGAACGGGTTTGGTCGGGAGCAGGAAGGGTCCTGAGTAGAGGACAAACCCACTTGCCCAGCCTGGAGTCGCCTTCCACGCAGCTCCCCGCCCCTTCCCGGCCGCCAGTGCTTCCAGCATCTTCTTGTCTGAAAATACTTGGCCGGGCCAAAGCTGCGAGTCTCCTGAACCCCACCAGGGGGCGCGCAAGCCGCAGGTAAACCTTCAGGGAAAAGGGTGCGTCCACCGGTTGAGCCAGCTTGGAGGATCGCTGAGGGCTCAAAAGAAACAAATCAATTGCTAACAATAGTCTCAAGACATCATTTGTGGAGTGCTTACTATTTGCAGTCTTTACATTAAGCTATAGGTAGATTTAGACGATTGAATGTCCTCCGCAACCTTAGGAGTCAAGGGCTACTTTAATTCCCCGGTTTTTGTTTGTTTTCTTAATTTTAGAAACTTGGTTATTTTAAAAATTGCAAATTCCACGTTTTGTAGATGAGTAAAAAACGGCTACAAAGTACACGAGCTTTGAGGACCGGTAAAGCCCCAGACCGCGCCCTTTGACCCCCGGGTCCTCTGAAAGCCCCTCCCCCGCAGGCGGGTGGGGTAATATGCTGTAATTAGAGGCTATTAGATGTACCCAGAGGGAGGGCGCAGCCAGCTCTGCTTTAGGGCGGGCTCGGGGGAGGGGGGGGGGCGATGTTGAGTCCCCGGATTCAGCGCATTGAGCATCCAGCGACCCTATCCCAGTGGGGTGAGCCCAGTGACATCAGCCTCCTGCCCTCAGTCTTACAAGAGAATTGTCATTCTACCTCAGACACTCGATTACAACCCACTCAAACTCTCGGCTGCACACACCAGAGAGCTTGGAGGCTGATTCACACTTCCACAACCCCTCACGTCTTGTTTTCCAGACTCCAGTCTCTGGGAACCTGTGCAGAGGGATAGAGAGGAACTTGCTTTGGGACTGGACTGGCTTCCCGTGGGCATGGGAGCTGCTGCTGCTGGCTCCCCCATCCTACATCCAGAGGAGTGGATACCTCAAAACAGAAACAAAGCTATGCTATCCTACACACACACACACACACACACACACACACGCACACGCACACGCACACGCACACGCACACACACCATAGCCAGGAGCCATGACTATTACAAGAATGTGTGGCTAACATCTGGGACACAAAAATTTGGAGTGATTGCAGAGGGTTTTTGGAGAGTTGCAGGGATTTTGAAGTTTAGAAGAAATCTGAGAATCCAGGTATTTATGTATGAAAGGATGACTTACTATTTATTTATGCATTTGGCTTTTCTATTCATTTTTTTTTTTTTCGGTTTTTTGAAACAGGGTTTCTCTGTTCTAGCTGCTACAGAACTCACTCTGTAGACCAGGCTGACCTCAAACTCACAGTGATCCACCTGCCTCTGCCTCCTGAGTGCTGGGATCAAAGGTGTGCACCATCACTGCCCTTGTTGGGAGGGTGACTTAAATTGTTCCAATGTTAGTTTGATGTTATAGGCATCCTAGATGTTCAGGAAGTCAAGACTTAAATGAAGCTAGGGAACAGAGGCCAGTGGATCTCTGAGTTCAAGGCCAGCCTGGTCTATAGAGAGAATTCCAAGACATCCAGGCCTAAGCAGAGAAACCCTGTCTGGAAGAAAAAAACAAACAAACAAATAAATAAATAAATAAATAAATAAATAAATAAATAAATAAATAAATAAATATTTAAATGAAGGTTAGAAGCTGAGTGGGATGGTACCTACCTGTAATTCCAGCATTCTGGAGGCAGAGGCAAATGATTACTGTGTCAAGGTCCATACAAGGGCCGCATAGAGAGCCCCTATCTCAAAATAAGTAAGTAAAT